CGCAAACGCAAACGCAAACGCAAACGCAAACGCAAACGCAAACGCAAACGCAAACGCAAACGCAAACGCAAACGCAAACGCAAACGCAAACGCAAACGCAAACGCAAACGCAAACGCAAACGCAAACGCAAACGCAAACGCAAACGCAAACGCAAACGCAAACGCAAACGCAAACGCAAACGCAAACGCAAACGCAAACGCAAACGCAAACGCAAACGCAAACGCAAACGCAAACGCAAACGCAAACGCAAACGCAAACGCAAACGCAAACGCAAACGCAAACGCAAACGCAAACGCAAACGCAAACGCAAACGCAAACGCAAACACAAACATAAACACAAACATAAACACAAACATAAACACAAACACAAAACACAAACACAAACACAAACACAAACACAAACACAAACACAAACACAAACACAAACACAAACACAAACACAAACACAAACACAAACACAAACACAAACACAAACACAAACACAAACACAAACACAAACACAAACAAACACAACACAAACACAAACACAAACACAAACACAAACACAAACACAAACACAAACACAAACACAAACACAAACACAAACACAAACACAAACACAAACACAAACACAAACACAAACACAAACACAAACACAAACACAAACACAAACACAAACACAAACACAAACACAAACACAAACACAAACACAAACACAAACACAAACACAAACACAAACACAAACACAAACACAAACACAAACACAAACACAAACACAAACACAAACACAAACACAAACACAAACACAAACACAAACACAAACACAAACACAAACACAAACACAAACACAAACACAAACACAAACACAAACACAAACACAAACACAAACACAAACACAAACACAAACACAAACACAAACACAAACACAAACACAAACACAAACACAAACACAAACACAAACACAAACACAAACACAAACACAAACACAAACACAAACACAAACACAAACACAAACACAAACACAAACACAAACACAAACACAAACACAAACACAAACACAAACACAAACACAAACACAAACACAAACACAAACACAAACACAAACACAAACACAAACACAAACACAAACACAAACACAAACACAAACACAAACACAAACACAAACACAAACACAAACACAAACACAAACACAAACACAAACACAAACACAAACACAAACACAAACACAAACACAAACACAAACACAAACACAAACACAAACACAAACACAAACACAAACACAAACACAAACACAAACACAAACACAAACACAAACACAAACACAAACACAAACACAAACACAAACACAAACACAAACACAAACACAAACACAAACACAAACACAAACACAAACACAAACACAAACACAAACACAAACACAAACACAAACACAAACACAAACACAAACACAAACACAAACACAAACACAAACACAAACACAAACACAAACACAAACACAAACACAAACACAAACACAAACACAAACACAAACACAAACACAAACACAAACAAACACAAACACAAACACAAACACAAACACAAACACAAACACAAACACAAACACAAACACAAACACAAACACAAACACAAACACAAACACAAACACAAACACAAACACAAACACAAACACAAACACAAACACAAACACAAACACAAACACAAACACAAACACAAACACAAACACAAACACAAACACAAACACAAACACAAACACAAACACAAACACAAACACAAACACAAACACAAACACAAACACAAACACAAACACAAACACAAACACAAACACAAACACAAACACAAACACAAACACAAACACAAACACAAACACAAACACAAACACAAACACAAACACAAACACAAACACAAACACAAACACAAACACAAACACAAACACAAACACAAACACAAACACAAACACAAACACAAACACAAACACAAACACAAACACAAACACAAACACAAACACAAACACAAACACAAACACAAACACAAACACAAACACAAACACAAACACAAACACAAACACAAACACAAACACAAACACAAACACAAACACAAACACAAACACAAACACAAACACAAACACAAACACAAACACAAACACAAACACAAACACAAACACAAACACAAACACAAACACAAACACAAACACAAACACAAACACAAACACAAACACAAACACAAACACAAACACAAACACAAACACAAACACAAACACAAACACAAACACAAACACAAACACAAACACAAACACAAACACAAACACAAACACAAACACAAACACAAACACAAACACAAACACAAACACAAACACAAACACAAACACAAACACAAACACAAACACAAACACAAACACAAACACAAACACAAACACAAACACAAACACAAACACAAACACAAACACAAACACAAACACAAACACAAACACAAACACAAACACAAACACAAACACAAACACAAACACAAACACAAACACAAACACAAACACAAACACAAACACAAACACAAACACAAACACAAACACAAACACAAACACAAACACAAACACAAACACAAACACAAACACAAACACAAACACAAACACAAACACAAACACAAACACAAACACAAACACAAACACAAACACAAACACAAACACAAACACAAACACAAACACAAACACAAACACAAACACAAACACAAACACAAACACAAACACAAACAAACAAAACACAAACACAAACACAAACACAAACACAAACACAAACACAAACACAAACACAAACACAAACACAAACACAAACACAAACACAAACACAAACACAAACACAAACACAAACACAAACACAAACACAAACACAAACACAAACACAAACACAAACACAAACACAAACACAAACACAAACACAAACACAAACACAAACACAAACACAAACACAAACACAAACACAAACACAAACACAAACACAAACACAAACACAAACACAAACACAAACACAAACACAAACACAAACACAAACACAAACACAAACACAAACACAAACACAAACACAAACACAAACACAAACACAAACACAAACACAAACACAAACACAAACACAAACACAAACACAAACACAAACACAAACACAAACACAAACACAAACACAAACACAAACACAAACACAAACACAAACACAAACACAAACACAAACACAAACACAAACACAAACACAAACACAAACATACATACATACATACATACATACAGGCTGTGAAAATCTGTCTAGTGTTAAATGCCAGGTGCAATTTATTATAAAACGAAACTAAGTGTAAATAACTTTGAATATGGATTCTCATGTTTGTAGAAATTATTGGTGAAACAGAAGGGAACTTTAATGCCTCTAGTTTTGTGAAATTTATTATAGATTTTATCAAGGACAAGTGCACCAAAAAATTTCAATAATACTTTATTCAGACGGTTGTTCCTAATAAAAAAAGAATGTTACCATGTCGAATACATTCCTAGAGTAATAATAGTCTTATCCATTGTGTTACACAATGTGAACAAAACGAAATTTCATAATAATATGCATATTGAGATGTACCTATTTCATAAAAATCAATATATAAATACCTACAGTTTTTTTCTTTATAAATAATTAGTAAATCCGGGCCCGCGAATCAAAAACTTTGGGAACCCCTATATTTTAAAATATATTTATTTTGACAAAACTCACTAAATGTAGAAGTTTCTGCTAGTACAATTATACTGTCGTCCTTCTACATGATATCACAAGGGTATCTTTAAGAAGAATGGATATAGCTGGGATGGAATTTATCATTTATGTGCACCGACGAAATCTACGAGTCCGGATATCGAAACCATGTTTTTCGATAGCTCAACTGGTAATAGAACGGACGACTACAGTACGAAGGTTCGATCCCTGGTCGTTGCGATCATTTTTTTGATCCTTTAAGTCTCAGCTTTTTAATTTTTTTTGAGTTTGTTTTCACTTTGGGGCAATGGGAGTGTACGAGGTATGACAATAAAATTATAAGACTGTTGTAAAAAATCTACTTTATTTAAAAAATAATACAACTTAATGGTACTCCCCTTCAATGTACTCCCCTTCCCTATCGACACAGCGTTTCATACGTTTTTTCCACTGTTGGAAGCAATTTTGGAAATCATCGGAAGAGAGGCTGTTGTGAAGTCTTGCCGTTTTTTCTTTGACCTCTTCTAATGTGTCAAAACGGGTTCCTTTTAACGATTCCTTCACTTTCGGAAATAAGAAGAAGTCACAAGGGGCCAAGTCTGGTGAATATGGTGGGTGGTTAAGGACAGGGATCTTCTTATCAGCTAAAAACTGCTTAATGGAAATGGCTTTGTGGGCCGGTGCATTGTCCTGGTGAAGCAGCCACGCGTTGTTCTTCCATAAATCTGGACGTTTTTTCCTTACACGTTCCCTTAGTTTCTTCAATACTTCCAAATAATAATGTTGGTTGACTGTTTGTCCCTCAGGCACCCATTCAATAAGAATAACACCCCTAATATCGAAAAAAACAAGGAGCATCGCTTTGAATTTTGATTTGCTCATTCTTGCTTTTATGCCACATAAAAATCATTGCACGAGACATACACTCCTCTCCGTAGACCTCTTTTAGCATTCGAAAGCATTCAGTGGCCGTTTTTTTGAGTTTTATCAAAAACTTGTTAATACCTTGCTCGATTTTTTCGTTCCGGCAAGTGAGCTAAGCACGATCCGCTTCCAACCACTGCTGAAGCCAAACTAAAAGAGGCAAGGCGACAAGATTGCGCGTGGTAGTACAGCACATATCAAGGTCAATGACCCATCACCGCACGAGACTTGGAGATTTCAAACCTGCTAGTATGGGGGGCCAGTCTTAAAATTTAATTGCCATACCTCGTATTTTCCATAATTTTGTAAGGGGGATTAAAGAATATTTATTTTCATATTTCCAAAATTACAATAAAAATTATTAAAATATAGTCACTTACCTCTACATACATTTTCTTCGGATGTCTAATTATGTACCCATCTGGTACAACTCCAGGCGCCTCTCGAGTAGGCATAATAAGTAGAGAGTGATGTAAAATTGCAGTTAACAAAAAGCAACCAATTACAATTGGTTTATATTTTCCAAATTTGTCGACTAGATAACCAGTAATAGGAGGCGCTATAAATGTTGTGAACGGAAGTAAAAGATAAATAATTGCTATTTGTTCCATTGTAAGACCTATACTCTGCATGTGAACTGTTAAGTACGGAACGAGTGAGGAGGTGGCTAAAACAATAATTTATAAATTAATAATGAGAAACCCTTACACAACCAACCAGATGAATTATGCCGGAATCCAGTGAACATTTTTGGTTACTTAATTTCGAAGGGCGTCTAAATAAATTTAATTATATATGGATTTTTGTGTTAGTAAATATTATTTAATTTTACAAAAGAAATAAAAACACTTTGACGGGCGTTTATTAATATTACAACATAACTAAGGTTGCTATCTTTAAAACTAACGTTCTACTTGCTAGTATACCTTAGGATCTGATAACTTGATTACACTAAACTAACATGTAACGCACAATAATCTGCTTTGTTATTGACACAGTCACTTGGCTAACTCAAAAAGTTTCACTCTCTTGAGTCTTTTTGTCAGATTGATGTGGTCAGGAAACTGATTCGCGTAAACGTTCACATGTTGGTGGAGCCGTTGTTCATGACTCCTAGCGAATTTGTTGATAGTTTGGTCAACAGTGTCTATATGAAAATCTCGATGGAAGTCGCTATGTTTAATGTACCAAGGATCAACGACAATGATCTTCATTAGTCCAAACTGGTGTAAGGACGTGTTTATAAAAGTAATTTTGTTATAGGTAAGATAGGCTGGAATGACTAACCAGTACATTTTTATCCAGATCTTGTCTTTTCTTTTCATGATGAACCTTCCAGCGAAGTTTTGCATCAAATGTAATACTTAGACATTTGCTGAATTAGTATAAGGCAACTGGGTATTATTTAAAATAATTCGCATTTGTAAAATAATATTAATAGATTTGGTTTAGTTTAGTACACTAGCTTCTGGCACAGTTATTAACTTATTTAGTAAACTGGTGTTTGTAGTTTATATGCAGCCTCTTTTTGATCTTTACCAATCGCTAGGATGGCAGTATCATCTGCAAATGTAACTATTGTGTCATGTTCTAGTTGAAGTATGTCACGAGTGTATAACAGGTACAAAGTGGATCCCAGGACGCTTTCCATGTGTTATTTCTGCTTTGATTTATTTTAATTCAGAGTATGCTTCATCTTTTTTACTCTAAAGAATCTATTTGAATTGTATCAATCCAATAGCTGTAAGTAAGGCTATGCTATAACAAATTTAGTTTATGTTTTATTTCATCATGTCATATTTTATCAAAAGTCTGCGCAACATCAAAGAAGATTGCTAAGCAGACTTTTATGGTTTCTAATACTTTTTCAATCACATTTGAGTTTCTATGAACCTTGTATATAGTCAAATGGTTTCCTCTAAAGCTAAACTGAGAATCTGAAATTAGTTTCCTTTCTTCATCCTTTTTATAAGTATTTTATCAGTTTTGATAATATAGGCAATACAGAGAAAGGCCTATATAACTTCGTTTGTAGGTTTTCCTCGTTTAGGGATCACAATAACTTTAGCTACTTTCTACAACATATGGATAACCTTACTTTAAAGTTTTGTAAGTTTTATTATGGATTTCTTTGGAAGTTGGTTTCAAACTTCTCCTATAAATAAATCTTGGGATCAATATTATTATAAAATCACTAAAAGAATAAGCAAAAGTATGCGTATACACACTGTTAGATGAAAACATTAAGATACATGACAATTTCTTTACTAAAATAATAATTTGCTTGATCTAGCCTGATGGAATTTAGTGACAGCTCAAATATTCAAATAAAAAAAATAATTGCACTAATATTCGCATTACTGAAAATTTTATGAATTGCTGACGTTATATTATTGACCAACAAAACAATCTGGAGATTTTTTAATGACAACAAAGCCTACTCAAACTAACGCAAAGATGTACAACTTGCCAAATTATATAATATTGGTAACGTTTTCATCTAATGAAGTCAGTATTAATTTTCCAGTTTTGTTTTGTCAAAAGATCATTTAAATTATAATGATAAAATAATAAAAATGTGAATAGTATTCGTTGTCCCATACTAACTTTCTCAGGGCCGCCGAGAGCCAGACCGGGCCCCAAGACAATTCTCCAGATCGGGCCCCGCGACAATTTTATAAAATATTAAAGAACAAACGCTCTTCAAGCAAAAATTTCTCATCCTCTACTTGAATCTCTCTAAAAAAAAAGGTCTTCAAGTAAGAACTTTCCCCCTCTTCTGTCTAATTTCTGAAAGTCGCAACACCACCGCTGCCAGGCCCCCATTTGAACCGGGCCCCGGGAATTAGTCCCGGCTGCCCCCCTCCTCTAGTCGGCCCTGAACTTACTAATACTTAAGGTATCTGCAAGTGTACTACCGAACGTTCGGTTACGGTTTCGGCCTAAAATAGGAGTTTCGACTGTAGTTTCGGTTTTGGTGGAAAACTGGCAAGACTGCAGCCAAAACCGAAACTATTTTCGTAGGTTTTCGCAGTACGCTTGGTTCTTTCATTTTTATACAGTGCACGTGCACACAAACTTCTTTGTTGTGTTCCAACTGAACACTCTTCAGTGGAAAAATTATTATTTTTACCTTACAACAAAAGACTGTTTAATTATGAATATAAATTTAATTATAAATAGCAAACATTTTTTATGTGCTGAATTAGCTCCTTTTTTTTATACCAAAATTATTGTTTTTGTTGGACTCCATACCTACTACGTAATTGTAATACCTATTGTAATACTATTTTTTTTTACAAAAATCCATTACAGATGTACCAACGGTTTCTGTTTTGGTTATAAATCCTTGTTTCGGCAGGACACCAATATCTGTATTGTTTTCATTTTCATTCGTTCACTGGCGACATAGGTGTTCTTCTGTTGAGAAGTTGACAGACTATTTGATTTATTATCTTTGACATGTAAGTTATCCTGTGACATCAGTGGAAAACTTAATATTTCGCCATTGTGCGAATATAAATCAAAACTAGGTCAATATCATGAGTAAAGGGTGTATCTTATAGTGGTACCCAATGTTTTTTTCAAATAACTTGACAACCAGATGACAGATCGTCATGTTTGTTATTGTTTTAGAAACGTCAGTCCAGTACAATTTTAACAATGAACCACCTTACACCACAACAACGTGCTTAAATTGTAAAAATTTATTTTCAAAAAACTCCTATTGCGTGCCATGTTCCCGAATCGATTGATATCGAAATACGGCGATTTCGACTGGCCGGCTCATTCGCCAGACTTTTTTTCTGTGGGGATACCTGAAGGGAAAGGTTTATGCCGATAAACCAGCCACTCTCCAACAACTTAATGCCAACATACGCCGAGAAATCGCTGCCATTCAACCCGAAACTCTCCAAAAAGTGATGGAAAATGACCGATGTCATCTTCATAGTTACCAAATAAATTGTAATGGATCCAATTTCAATAAAAAAAAACATTTATTAAAAAAAATTCACTGTTTGTCAAATTATTTAAAAAAAAACTTCGGATACCACTATAAGATACACTCTTTATTAGGACGACGCAAATCTTTGAGTTAGTCTGCGAATGCTTTGATGATAATGATAAGTAGCATTCAGAGTGCTCTGTTTATTTTCTTCATAATATAGATACCTAATCTTATGACACATTTGTAAAATTCAAATTGTTGCCATTGTGTGAGTAGAAACGACAATAATTATACTACTACCATATTAGATAAACAAGTCGCACATCCTTGCGTTAGCCTGGTAATGCTTTTGTGAAGTTGAATAACAAACAGCCTAACTTTTATATTTCTTAATTTTGAAATGCAAGTTGTCCGCCAATAATTTTCTTGATTTGTAATATATAAATATCTTAGTTTCCATAATCCAAGCCTTTCAAGACTTCATAATAATATTCTACGGCACTTTTAATTTTATTAGGACAAAAATAACTTTTTTATAAAACTTTTAAAATATTCTGATTAAATCCAATAGAAATCAATAGCCAGACGTAAGTTGAAAGTGTAATTAAAATCGCTACAGACTCACTGCCATGTTAAGTAGGAAAAATGTTCACTGGCTCCCCAACTAAATATGTGTATGCTATCAATTATTTTAAGAGGGTTTCAACTTCGCTAATTAGATAGTAAATATATTAAATTAAAGGTTATAAAACATTTATTTTTAAATAAAAGTAGTGTTCTTATCGTAATAGCGGGACCAAAAGAAATTAAACCTATCTTATATATTGTGACGAAGTCACTAAATTTTATTTTTAATTCATCTTAAAAATGTATATTTCAATTAATTCCCGCCTGAGAACATGTAGAAGTTCCCCCGTATTTTTGTTTCCCAAAAATGACCGATTTTCAACAATTGCGAGTACCCTCGTAGGTTAAAATATCCTTTTATTTGCCGAAATCCGAATGGGCATTTTTAGAGTCGATTTCGTATGAATTATCTACTTTTAATTGTCAAGGTAGAAGAAGGACATTTTTTGTATTTCTGAATTGTAAACAGTCGGCTGTAGTAGTGGTATCCCCACTTTGTCGTACTAGTCTTCCATCTTTCTTTACCGAAAAAGCATAAATTGATGGAAAGCTAAAAATGCCGCCTCTTGACTCCCGACACCCGAGAAGTACTGATCTTTCTAAAAATTATAGTGACGACGCCGTATAGTGCCGTGACCGTAAATAAGTAGTTGGTTAACCCGTTGGATTTGTTAAGGTAGGAACCGTATATTTTTTTTATATTGGCTTTCATATAATTAGTTGGGACACCCGTGTTACCGAACAAGAATTTTGCAAAATTCGTAAATATTATTTTTATGCGATCGCCGATCCAAAACACCGTATAATAAACCTTATTTATCAGTAGGCGAGAATTTTGCGTTTCCCATCGATTGGATAGTAAGATACAAGGGGACTCCGACAATTCGGATTTCATTTATGTGCTTGCATCTGATTTTCGACATATTTAAATTGTTTTAAGTGTATTAATTTATTTTCATACATTTTCCGTATACTGGGTTTTTCACGATTCCCAGTCCGATTAGCCTCCTGAGCTAGTAAACTGTAAATATTTAAAGGTTTAAATAATTTTCAGTATTAGTAATTTATTTATTTAATTTTCCCGATATAGG